GGCGTGAGGCTAAGCCAAGAACCTCGAAGTTTTGATGTTTTCTTTGAGCTGCAGATGCGAGCGGCGCGTCGTCACCCTGTTCGTCCGTCGTTCGTTCCTTTCCTTTTGGGCCCTACTTCCTCTTGAAGACCTCCAGGATCCCGTGGTTTGTACATGTACCCTTAGCAAATGGAACCCTAGGCCGGCGTGTGGCACCGCATTCAGTTCAGTACACAATATCTCAAGTGTGTGTAGTTGCCGACGAAGTGGAACCAAGTGAAGAGGGACAACCGATGAGCCAAACCTCATTGTAACAAACCTGGGGTACCTGCATCTAGTTTCAAGTAGAATACGCGTGCGGGTATGCGTACAAACTAAGGCCCGGGCGAAGGTGCGCGCAAGAGAAAAGAAAGGTTGAGGATGACGAGACATGAAGACAGAAGGACCTGAAAGAAAAGAAAGAAAGACGTCTGTGGGGGCCAGTGAAGAGGGAACCAAATGAAAGGGGCCAAACCGATGACAAACCAAACCTCATTGAAAACCTGTTGCAGAAGCCTTGTTTGCTTGTAGGCGCGCCCCCCGCGAGAAAGTAGGGGGGAAGGGGAGGAACAGATTTCCCCTTACTACGTTCCCCCTTACTAACCGCCCGTGCCTCCTAGCGCAACAGTTTTCCAATGCAAACGGCCCAGTCCTCGCCTTCACCAACTGTTGTTCACGCAGCTTACCCAATTGAACCCCCAACCTCGCACACGGCGCCAGCGCCATCAGCCCACGGCCATACAGTACAGCCGCCCCCACCTGCTCAACCAACCAACAACAACAAACAAACAAACAAACAAACAAAGAAACAAACAAACAAACAAACAAACAAACAAACAAACACACAAACAAACACACGCACAGACAGACAGACAGACAGACAGACAGACAGACAGACAGACAGACCGACGGACAGACAGACAGACAGACAGAGAGACAGAGACAGAGACAGAGACAGAGACAGAGACAGAGACAGAGACAGAGACAGAGACAAACAAACAAACAAACAAACACACAACCAAACAAGCAAGCAAACAAACAAGCAAACAAACAAACGAAACAAACAAACACAAACACAAACACCACAACAACAACAACAACCACCACAACGACGACGACGACGACGACAACAACAACAACAACCCCTACCTCACAACACATCCGCCTCTGCTACCACATTGACAGCCAACCCACCCTCGACAAATCCAAGAGCTCTCTTGCTGCGCAAGCACTGTACAGCGATAGGGGTTTCACTAAATTGCTAGCAAAGAAGAGGCCGCGGAAATAATATTGGACGTGGCTCATCTACATTCGACCAATTGCTCCTTGCGCACGAGGCCCAGTCAGCTTGGCACTGGTCGGAGTGGGCCCCAGTTCGTGTCCAGAAAAAATCAAGAGAAACGTTCCCAAACAAATTGAGAGAGATGGGATGGATGTTTGCCCGTATGCGTGTAAAAGGTGCGTATTTGTGCTGCACCCTGGTAGTGTATATCGGCGCTTGCCTGAGCGTTGTTCGCTCCCATGACCCAGGCGCACCACCTGTCAGCGTCTGGTGTTTGTGGTTGCCGCTGTTACGATTCCATTTGGAAGCCTTAAAAGCGGGATAGAAAAGTTATGCGTGAGGCTAGCTAACCGCTAGGATCTCTCATTCCAAAGGCACACACGCGCAGCCGTTCTTTTTTGCAAAAAGCTTAGGGCAGGATTCTCAATGATTAACCGTCTGCCATGAGCAACTTGGTTGGAGGCAACTTGCGCGCAAAAATCAACAAACATACGTACATACATACATACCTAACGTAGCGTAGCGTAACATAACTTAACATACATACATAATTCATTCGCACTCACATACATACATACATACATACATACATACATACTTGCCGACTAGTTTGGTCTCAAGTGTACATGAGGTACATCAAGTGAACTTAGCTGGAACTTGTGGAACTTATACATAAGTAGAAATAAGTAAAAATAAGTAGATATAAGTAGAAAACTAAGTTAAAATAAGCAGAAATAAGTAGAAATAAGTAGAAATATGGAGAACATCAAAAACCTTATAAACAAGAACGAAACAACCATTTGTCATAAAACATGACTTTTCCAAACACCAGAAACTAGAAGAAACCTGTACCTATAGCCCATATGGGTTATAGCGTCCCGAGGGCCGCTGTATGTATGTATGCATATATACACCTATTATATAAGAAGCTACCATACATCAAACATGTTGAAAGATGCTGCAAAGGTCTTGCTTTTTCCCTCACTTCGACTGGTGCTTTCGGAGGTGAGGCGGCGCCCAGTGCTTCAGCGTTTGCTGATGCACTCGTTTACCGCCTCGTCGGCGGTTGCGGCCGGTCTTCTCGCGCGCCTTTTGCCGCGCAGTCTTCTTCGGGCAAGCCGCCAGCCACTGCTCGTCCTCCACAGTCAGGTCGCCGCACTCCGGGTCGTTGAAGTCGCTGCCCTGCACGGTGCTGCCATACACCGTGGTCGCACCAGCAGGATTGCTTGAGCCGCTAGAAGATGCCTCTTCGTCGCTGCTAGCTTCCATCTCCAGCGGGCCCTTCTCCATGCTCTCCTTCGCCATCGAGTCACCACTGGGTGCATCCAGGCTGGATGATGCAGCCACTCCCTCAACGGTTGGTCCAGGACGATCACCACCAGGCACCTCATTTGCTGAAGATGCAGTGGCGGCCACTGGTGAAGCCTTGGCTGAAGCCGGCGCCGATGACCATGTTCCCTCCATAGCCTTGGCTGAAGCCGGTGTTGGCGTTCTCATGTTCTCATGTCTTGTTTGGTTGAGTTTCCTATAGTACTTTCCTGTACATAGATTCCATGAAGTGGTGCTGGCATATATCTACGTGAATAGATGCATGTGCATATATGGCCAGGTGGTATGTGAATATGTATGCGCGCATATATGTTCAAAAGGTTTTTGGTTTTGATGCTGTACTCTTTCCATTTGGGGTGGTAAAAACATTTGCAGTTGCAGCTTCATGAGCCAGCTACAACGAACAAGCGCACATGGTGTTGCATGAACAGTGGATATGGGGACAGCGGCCCTGGGGACGCTCGAAAACATGGTGATTGCTGCCCTGGTTGCCCTTGGTTAAGCTTGAAACTGGAAAACACGTTGTAAGGACAGAATAAGGAGAACAACCTTGAACTGTGAAGCGTGAACAGGGTTGAACACAGGTTCTGTACAAAGCCCTGACCTTTGGTGGAGCCACAAAACCTTGAACCCAGCAAACATCTTAAGAGCACAGTTCTTTGATGGGGACCAAAACCTGCTTACGACCCTATATATTCAATTGTTTATATATTTTTATTTGATATATATATATATATGTTATATATATATATATATTTTTTATCCAAAGCATCTTGCGGTATAAAGCGTCCCGAAGGCCGCTGTGCATACTTTATATTATATATACACCAAACACCAAAAAAAACATCTGTTCGACAATGCTCAACAGCGTTTCATCACTGTACAAAAACTTCAAAAACTCGGGGCCCCAATCTGCAGAAACCTCTCACGCTTTCATGGACGATGCAGCTGCTGGTCGCTTCCTGGGTAGCTGTTTCGTTGTGGCGGCTTTCGGCTTGGTGGCCGCCACTTTTCCTGTCTTTTTGACAGGTAGTGTCTTGAAAGGAGCTTTTGGCTTATCATCTCCAGGCTCATCTCCAGTTCCAGGCTCATTGCTGTCAGGTTCATCCATCGCTTCATTGTCAGATGCGTCCACCTCGCGAGGTTTGGCCAGGAGCATGGTGTGAGGCTGGGTCATTCCCAGCACCAGGCCACACTCTGGTCATAGAGCGTGATCTCAAGGTTCACCTTGTACGCCACGCAAGTCCTCACGGTCACAAAGAAGGCGTCTCGGTGGCTAGAATAGGCGCAGCTGTTCACCCGCTTGTTGCCAACGGGCCCAAGACGAGCCCACCTGTCACCGAAGTCCAACTCAGTCTGGTAGTCCACACCGCGAGGCACAAGGCGGACTTGCCACTTGGAATCAGTGTTCATGGCCATGGATGACGTCAAGACAGGCGTGTTTGCAAAAAGTGGTCGATGGCAAAAGCTTGATGCAAGCACAAATGACATGAGCAATGAACAACAATACAAACGCAGAACATCCGACAATGACAATCGAAGTGGTGAGTTATTTGGTCTTATCTGCCGATTGCTCACAAGAGTGGACATTGTTTTCATTGCAACAGCCGCTATGCGAAAGTGGTAGACAATCGAATTCATCAATTAACTGATGGTTCAAATTAAATTGAATTACCACAAGGCCGCTTCAACTCAGTGAAGCTTTGAACCAAAACTCAATCAGAACCACTGTCAGAGTCAGAGCCATTTCTGGGGGGCCACATACATACAGCGCCGGCGCAGTTCAGATCTAATCATCCTTGCCAGACGATGAGCGGCATGTTGTTCCTGAGAGTTCCAACATAAGCGTGCTTTGCCAAGGTAAACATGCTGACTCAAAGAACAAAACGTCCAACTTACTAGCTGCCATATTACACACTAAAGACCCAACATTGTTGGCCACTACAAACATTTGCCTATTTGCCTGTATTGCATCCCAGAAACTGAAGCCATGAGGTGATAGTAGTGCTTACGAAGTCTGAGCACACCCATCGATTGCAAAAGGTTCCATTGAACCTCAATCGCATTCATGTCAAATTGGTTTTGTCTGCGTAGAGCAGGGGGAGCCTTGCGGATTGGCAAAGAGGGCATGGCGGTGAAAAGCCAGGCGAGAAGGCAATGAATGTATGCCTTTTGAACGAAACTCTGATGGTTATCAGTCATGCACCTGTGGCATCAGAGTCTACACATGTCTGCACAGCAACCGTACAAGCGCACGTAAAAACAAGAAGTGACACCTATAGGGTTGCACTGCTCGGTATGAGGTTGAGGTTGCTTCAACTATAGCGTCCCGAAGGCCGCTGTATCTAGAACACACCTGGCCTTTCAAGATCATTTCTTGTTCGAGGCATCTTTGACTTGAATTAATTTCGATATTATGGGTGCTTGCTTGTGGCAAAGGACCACAGGCCAAGCAAATCAAATTGATGGGAACACGGCGACGGTGAAACTCAGCATCACTTGGTCTTACCCTTGGCCTTCGTAACCACCTTCAGCAATTGGTCTGCCTGGGAAACGGTGGCTTTGTATCCCTTGAGCATCTGGGCCAAGGACTTGTTGTCAAAGCTCAGGCCACTAAGTTCTTCGTTTGGCTCCAACACTTTCTGGCCGACTTGACTCTCCTGGGTGAGGGCATCGATCTCCTGCAGGAGCTGCTCCAATTCCCTCACGCTCCAAGTGGGCAGGAAGTCCTTGTTGGCCATGCACTTCGTTGCTGATTCTGAGACTGGGCCAAAAAGGGTTACTGCTCGGATTGCCAGCTTCTGCACATCCTTGTTGTGCTTCTTACGCATTTTGTCTCGGTGCTTCAACTCAGCCTCAGTGAAGTCTGGCTCCTGCGGTTCAGCCATCTCATCAGCACTGCGCTTTTGCGGACTGGCGGCTTTCATCCATTCCAGTTGGAGGGAGTCAGCGGCATCCTTATCTTCAATGCCACTTTCAAGAGCTTGACTTGGATTTGAACCATTCACTGGCTGCACTGTCTTGGTGTTCTTCTTGCGCCGACAATCAGCTTCAAACTTGGAGATCATCTCTTCAATCCTTTCTTTGTGGAACTCTTTGCTGATAGTGCGAAGAGGTACGCTCCAAACTTCTCCAAAGATTGGATGAGATTCGCACTTGCCTTTGCGGATATCTGACTCCAAGAACCCACGACCGACAAAGGCAAGGCCTCTGAAGAGTATGTCACCTTGGCTATCTCCTTGTTGGCTTCCACCATGGTCATGGTCAAAGATGCCCTCAAGTGTTGGTAGTCTAGTCGACCTTGCTGATTTGCGATGTCAGAGCACTTTCTCCAAAAAGCCAACTGCGCCTCAGGTTCAAGACCAGTAAAGCTTGGAAGTGGCCATCCAAGGTGTCTTGAGAGCATGGTAGTCGCATTGTTGCAAACTCGACAGATCACCACAGGTCTCTCTTCTCCCTTGGTCTTGTTCTTCATGATGGCCTTGGTGGCATCAACTGGCATTTGACATTTTTTGCACAACATGGCATTCTGCAGGGACTCCAACTGTTCCCAAACTCCAGCAGGCTCATACTTTGCAACCGCTTCATTTTGCAATGAGTTGGCACCATCTTCGTACGGCTGGGTTGCTCCAGTGAACACGCGCTGGGAGTCAACTGTCTTGATGAACTCTTCCAAGTCTGCTTGTCCCTTTTTCGCAGCTGCAGTATCCAACCCACCGACCGACTCTGAGAACGAGTCTGGATCTTGACTGTCTGGAACCTCGACAGTCTGAGGCATCTCCATGGCGGTCTGAGAAAAAATACCGAAGTCGTAACTTCTCAAACCAAAAAGCTGCTGTGAAGTGCGTTAACTGAAGTGGTTTGCTTGAGTGACACATCAAACAGAAAATATGGAAAAGGTAAAAACAATTATGTTGATTG